CMAARWWAAAMMWWARGGGRRRAAAAATRTGATTTTAGGAAGGAGTKGTYCTGTTCCARCAATCAGATAAAAAGTAGCAAGGACATACTCTTAATGTGCTAGATTGAAGAGCCATGTGCCACTCCCAGATTTTCCTCAGGTGGCCTCTTCATAGTGAAGAAAGTTAATGTAGCTGATTTTTTGCCTACAAGTTCACAGCCCCCCTCACAATCCTATCCATTGATTTCATTGCAAGGTGTCTGTTAGTAGCAAACAGTTGGGTAGCAGCACAATCTTTAATCAGCTTGACCCACACAACAAGAACCATGAGTGAAATCCTGATTCAATAGCAGAAGTTTGTTAATTGGATCAGTCTAACTGGATTTCCACTATTTCCTGTTAAAAAAGGCAATGTCAGGGATGTGGCAATTGCCAAATAAAAGTAAGAAGAGGTGTGATCTGCTAAAGAATAGCATGGCTTGATATCACCAAACCCATACAGCAATACATCTACATAGTTCAGCTTATCTTCCTTTTTTCAAAATTCTCTATTGCTTTATTGAATGCACTGCTGCCTACTAAGTTAAGAAAAAGAATCTATCTGGCTCTAAACTATAATCAATGTAATTACTGAAGAAGAAAAAGACAAGCATTTTACTTCAATGTCTGCAAAAGTTAGAAGAGTGCAAGCAGAAAGTTTAGTGGTGACTAGCCTCTCGAAAGTCAAGACAACACAATATATGTTGCCAGTCACAAGTTGTTATTTGTGATAAATATCTCGTTGTTCACATTATCAACATCACACAATGTGATAWGCTGCCAACTTCTAGAAACATTCAAACAAGGTCAATTTAATCACATAAAGCTTTAGTTAGCGAGAAATGCTAGTTTTTGGATTTATGAACTAAATTTCAACTACTTCACTCAAAAATGCTAGACACAAACATCTGAAGCAGAAATTGATGATGAGGTCATGCATGCTCACTGCAAGTACATCTGGAARAAAGACAAGCCAACAGTCTAAACCATTTCCTTTGAACTTGATGAGCACAGTATGCTTCAAGGAACACAGGTCATGATATGCTTTTATACAAGTTCCAACCTTTCAATTGCACACAGAATCTACTGGAAAATAAACTACAGAGTCAGGGCATCGCCTGATGTGATACACTGCTATCCAGTCAAGGACTAGATCAGCCCTTCTCCTAAGRTGGATCTGAGCAAAGCTGTGGCCTTTGTATTCCCAGGTTTCCTCCGTGGCTGGGATCAAAGTTCAGGTATACAAATACAGRTGGGGAGCAGTCACCATTCTGCAACTCCTGAACAAGTGCTCCTCTCCGCAGCCTCTATCCACAAATAAAACTTTTATTTTGGTCCCTGAATGGTAATAATGAACAATGGTTGCTGAGGTTTGCCTATGGGCTTAGCAAAACTAGCTCAGAGTGCTGTGACAGTTCCCCTCACTGCAGCAAACCAAGTTGCACAGAAAAACTGCTGCCACCAGCTCTCTCATTTTAATAAGCAGTGAGGTGAAAAACCTCTCTTTCTCCACCTCTTCCCTGCTTTGGCCCTGGGAGCTGGGTGGTTTGTTTCCCAGTCCTRCAGGAAATGTTTATAGAAGATCCACAGCATGAAAAATGCTAGGACATGAGAAATAACTAATGTACCTCAAGGTGTGATTCATGTCAGTACCAGTGACTTGGTTCCTATATGAATACCAAAACCTGAGATCATTCCAAATTACTTGCACAATGACTGCCTGAGTCACTGATAGCAGCAGGACTAATGCAGGTCCTGTTTCCTTTATTTCCTCTCTCAGGTAAGACTCTCAAAAAGGCCCTTTGGTGTAGTGAGAGACACAAGAACTATTYGGTATTTAAATTAAAAATTAAATATATTTTAGATTTTAAAAGATGTTTTATAATAAGCATGAAGAATGTAAGAATCACCACTTCWGCAATTAAAATAAAATGCTCCATAGTCACTATCTATCAGCATTACATATAGCTAAAGGAAAGTGGAGCCCATTAGTCATTCAGTAATTACAGAATAGGGCATTAAACATCTGTTTTCTATTTGAAAACAAGGTCAAAATGAAAAGATCAAAGACATTAACTGTTAGCATGCATCATCTTAATTTTCATTCTATTTTCAGGTCAGATGCAAGAAARCTCAAGGATCAGGTTAGACAGTTGAAGTAATATTCAATCAACCTTGAATATCAGTTGAAAAYGATGGTATAAATAAAATATAAAATTTATATAGGAATAAAAAAGCACCMCTTTTCACTGTTGACATTTGAAGATAGGAACAATGGTATTTAAACTATTTTTCCAGGTTCAATAATTTTTACTAAGGATACGAAGAAATAAAATTCTGGAAAGGCGGTGAGACTCAAAATATCCACTGACAACAAACACAGGGGAAGGAATAAACAGGTAAGGTAGATCTAGAAAATGATGACACTGAGTGCCCTGGTTCACAGGACTGCACAAAAATCTTATGAAACTCACAGTCTGCCTATATTTTAAAGACTACTTTGCCTCCAAGTATTACCAGAGAAGAATTCTTAAAGCAAGCTCAAATGTATTCTTAAAAGTTGTTAAACAGGCATAAACAAATATCTGAAAGTTTAATTTTCTCCAATGCAATTCTTTCATTTATACAAATACATGCTGATGTAAACARAACCATGATAATTTATATTAGCTGTAGAATTTTCTCTTACTAAACTCAGTTACTGCCAGACTGTTTTGTACAAATAGCTCTATAAATATGCTGTTAATCCAGCATCCTCACATGAAAGAAATAACAGTGTTATTTCTAACTAGAAAYGTCAAGACCGAGAAAATCTCAGAAACGAGTGGAATATTTATACAATATATTCCAAGTGAACATCACAAAAACTATTTTGGAAAACCACATGGGATTTCTCACAGGAAAGTGCTGGAAGAGGGGGTATTTTTTTTTTTGCAGTTGACAAGTAAAATCCAATAGGATAACTGCTAAAAGTCATTTTAATAAAGGTCGTATTTGAGCTGTCACAAATAAGAATTTTAATTAACACCCTAGCAGTCAGCAATTAAGTTTGCACATCTGACAGCTTTATAGCATAGACTGGAGAACTGCATCAAACTACAAACATTTATCTACACAGCAACTGCTATGGACAGGAGTTCAGGTTTTGTTGTTTCTTTTTTTCAGAAAGCCAACGATCTTGCACAAAAACTCGGAAATGCAAGGGTGTTCCTGCCCTGGAAGATTCAACAGTTCCCTGTAATTATATCTGGTAGATGGATGCCCATGTCAGAAGGTAACTCAAGAGTAACCCTCGGGAGAGACAGCGGAGGTTGTAACATCATCTATCTCAGGGAATGGGTGGAGGTGGGTGGGAAGGGCAAGCAGAAAGGAAAGAAGTTCTTCTGTAGTACTGCCTCTCATAATCATGGAAATAATGGCAGCCACAGGACCATGTTATCTTCTCCATAGCTGAGCTGKGTCCATGCCCACTTGTGAATAAGAAAATCCATCTGGTTACTGATTTGATTGGGATYTTTTCCTGTAGTAAATCCAATACCCTGAGGCTTTAAAATCATGGCTGTTAATAGAGACAAGGATCAGAATGTAAAGTTTATAACATCTCTCCTACGCCAGTTCAGCATGGAATGTTGCATCCAAGTTTCTTTATCTAAAAATGACACTTCTTTAGGTAAAGTGATAATTTTAGACACCAGTTAGAGAATCTTATGCACAATAATTGTGGGAGGCTGCTGTTGGCCCCTCAGTAAGGATGATGACACTGACAAATTATTAAGGAACCAAGGGACACCTGCAAACCAACTGCCCTTGTCTTTGTGAGGGAAATCACCTTGATGGGTGTCAGCTTGGAACACCACACAGCTGCTACAAACAGATTCAGCAGATTCCTAAAACACCTTGACAATTTCTTGGTACACTGACTCAGGGAGTTGACCCAGATAGGTGCTCTCCAYGATTTCTTGCTTGCTCCCAAAAAGGCTCTCAGGGCTGAAGTGGCAATTGGTGGTCATCTTGGCCACAGTGACCATGAAGCACTCAAGTTTCCAAACTCTGGTAGCATGCCTGCATCTGTCTTGCTCCCAAGATGGACCAGGSACTGGCATGCACAGATGTAAAATCCACAGCCAATGTTAACACAACTGTGAACACGGACACTGGAATAAAAACTAACACTGACTAGGAAGAACTGCCATATTAAACCATAYCTGTACATGTGAGGAGCCTGAGAATACTGTATTTTGGTTTTGCTAATTGTCAGTCTATAAGCAACTTTCGGGCATGGAATATATTCCTGGAATATTTAAGAAAGGAACCCTTAAGACTGTGATCTCAAGGAAATGAAATAGAACCAAGGAAATGAATAAATGTCCAATTTAATTCAAGTTGTTTAAAAAACCAAAGTGAATATATGATTTTTCCTTGTCTGGGTCAACAGAATAATGGCAAGGTAAGTAACAGTCATGCATCTGTGAGGGATAAATTATTCTTGACCCGGGTATTGGACAGAAAAAATTACCAGTTTTCTGTTCAATATCAGGTATTAGGGGGGAACACATCATGTACCTTGACTTGAACAATTCTATCAGATGTTATGTAAAAGCTCCAAGAAAGCAGTCTAAATGAAAGAACTGCAAGACACAGGAAAATTGTACTCAAAGGTTAATCAATTGTCCTTTGAAAAATAAAAAGAAGCATTAGATACCAAAATATAAGTAAAGGCCAGTATCATGCACCATTTTCATTATTTATAGTAATTATAGAATACTTCTATTACATTTGCAGATAACATCTGGTTGGAAAAATTCTGCTGCCTTATTGGAGGACAACGTTAACAATAGAGACCAAAATTAGAGAAATGCCTTAAAGGGGAAAAACCTGTCAGACACCAAATTCTGACACCTAGGTAGGAATAAACAACACAAGATGGGAAAAATGAGGTTGAGTAACAGTTTTAAGATCAAATCTGGTGCAGAGCAGACAAAGGTGGAAGGGAGAAAAGAGAAATTATGAATGCCATTTGAACATGTTAACAATATCGATCCATTATGGCAAAAAGCTGTGATGTGTAACTATGAACAAAGCTTGCAAATTKGATGGGAAAAAGCACCCATGATCTTACTGCTGCTCTTCTTGGTTTTTGAAAGACTGTAGCCTGAATGCCTGTCTTGGTATTTTACACAGATTTAATCCACTTAGGGAGATATTAGCATGGCAAAGGCTTCAGAGAAACCTCATTGCAGACTTCCAGAAGCTTAAGAGGGTKTATAAAAAGGAGGGAGGGACTTTTTCTACAGGCAGATAGTGACAGGACAAGGGGCAATGGTTTTACACTGAAAGAGGCTGGGTTCAGGTAGATGAAGTTCTTTACTCAGACGGTGGTGAATGACTGGAACAGACTGCKCACAGAAGTTGCCAAGGCCTCATCTCTGGAAGTGTTCAAGGTCAGACTGGATGGGGCTCTGAGCAGCCTGGTCTAGTGAATGGCATCCCTGCCCTTGGCAGAWGGGTTGGAACTAGATGATCYTTAAGGTCCCTTCCAGCCAAACCGTTCTATTATCAGGAATGACATATGAGCAAATTACAAGCAAGGGAAGACTGCAGGCTTGTCTAATGTACTGAAGAAGAGACTAAGGGGAAGTTCAGAGAACATCCTCTGCATACATAAAGGTTAGCTGCCACAAGGAAGAAAATAAACAATACTCCATGCTAGTGCAGGTTATGGAAAATGCGGTGAAACAAAAGTAATTTATTTTCCAGAACCCTTTTTATTTATTTCCTTCACAATTCTGAAGTCACCGGAAGATCACATTTTTATGTAAAATGATGATTTTAAAGAATAATGCTTCTAAATAAAAGAAAAGCTTAGTTATCTTCATGTATATCAGTTCCATAAGTGTTTCGATATACTTAAGTCAGTAAGTAAAATGTTATAATAAAAACAAATCAGCTTGCAAACACATACAMTATTATAGACTAAGACTTAAAATCACTATCCATCATCACAACAGTAAACTGAAATTTATGATGGCATGAGATTTAGCACCTGAATGAAGAAATMTAGTAATTTGCAACAATAAAATCATTTAGCTTTAATTAATGAAGTCCTTTGATTTTCTTACTATTCCAAGAAATGCAGGAACTAATATTTTCAGATTTTCTTTCATGCCTAATGTTTTTATTTTCCATTTGGCTGAAGTCAGAGTAAATGCTGGACATACATTTTGAAAATTATGACGTTTTGTGATCTACCCACAGTGTCTATCTGTGTTAAACGTTAGCACCATCTACTGGTCCAGAAGGTCCTTTCAAACCTTAGAAAAAGCTGTGGAAAGTGATCCAGCCAAAATGATGCAAAATGATACTGACAGTAACACGTAGTTTTTCAGTCCCTGTATAGGGAAAAGAAAAAGAAAATATTACCTTTTCATAACTAATACCACTTAAAAAAGTAAAATAAAGTAGTAAGAGTTCAATTTTATGATAAAATTAATAAATTATATGAGATGATAAATTTAAAACCATTTTATTTCATGTAACGCTCACAACATATTTGCTAGCAAAAACAATTAATACAAATAATCTATGATCCATTCACCTAGCAAAATATTCCCAAAATTAATTCAGCAATTTTGAAGRTAGTTTTAAAGGCCTTTATCTATTATTCAGATTATTTTTAAGTAACCAGTAATGCAGATTATTCTAAAAAGTATGAAAAGAATGGAAGATCTAGAGAGTTACAAAGATCTGGATAATGWACATGATGATCTTCCACTGTGGTGCAACATGCTAATCTGCAGTGGGAGACACAGAACTTCTAGTTCTAGATCCAAGGATGTTTGATGCACAGTCAGCAAAAATATTGGGAAAGATCACCTCTAATAGGTGAATAAAGGACCTATGGATCCTGGATAGACTGGCAAAGAGAATCTAGTATTACACTGCTAGCATTCAGTGCCTCAAATTCCACTAAAAATAACTTCTACCCAACATGTTAAAATCCAGTAAATTAGCTTGTTGTAGGCAACCACTGCCGTATCAGTTTAGGATCTTTACAGTACATTGTAATTACAAAGGCCAATCAACCTCCACTGTACTTTTTAGTCCTTTGTTGAACTGATCCTAAAAACATAATCTATTTGTTGATGTGACTATTGAAACAATAATCATTCCCCTGCCCCTACTGAAAGAACTGGGTCAAATGAAATCTGTTTTCAGGCTGTGCCTGGCATCCTGCCTCTTGGCTGTGCTACAGTCTTCATTTACATCCACTGCTCCTCATACAGTTACAGAACTATAATCTTCATTCCTGTAAAAACTGCTCACAGTTCTTCATGTTTCTTGGAAGACTTAAGATTGCATGATATGGTATCCAGTTTCATAATGCAATACTTGCAAGAAGGAGAAATTCGAGATATAGCTGTATACCAAATCATGCTGTTTCTAGAGCTAGGGATATGCAAGAGACATCAGGTAAGAAATCTAATAACATTTACCTTGATTTCCTTGAATACAAGGACTCCCCACATTGCAGCAACAAGGCCAGGGCCCTAAAGAATAAGATTCATTTTTACATTACAGAATTTCATTAAAATTTACTCCTTCACMTTACTGCTCTCAGAGTGATCAAATTTTGTCTGGATAACACATTTAGGTCTTTCCATTCTGTATAAGTAAAACACTCATGACGAAAGYATAAGCATAACTGAAATATTTACTAAGTAAGTCACAATAAAATCTTCACACAGAGCTAAAGAGGCAAGAAACTACTTTTATGTTGCAGTAGGCACAGCTTCTTTCTAAATAATACTGTGGAGTCTGCTCCAGCTGTTAATGCTCTTTCAGTAGGCTCCAAATAATAGGCCTCACTTTTGTCCAAATTAGAGCCCACGATGTTTCCTAACATTTCCTTTATTAGCATGACTAACTAGTTGGACAAAGTTTGAATTTATCACTCAGTAAGACAGCAAGAGAATGGGACAAAGATGTATTTCCTGGCATCTGGRCAAAGCACAAAACCAGCCAGGGAAACAGGTCAGGGAAACTCCTGATTATACATCATGTTGTTGCACAGGTTTCCTGGATAACAGCAAACAGTGATACACAACAGCAACTTCCAGGCACTCTCGGTAGTTTTTCCCCTGAGGGAGCAATGATCTGAATTTTCATGTCGGATGAGAAAATATCTAAATATGAAGCAAGAACTGRCTCTATTAATACTTCCCATTAAAGCTGTTCTGAGAAACACTTGACATGTTTGGCCAGTGACCTTCCTCTCTGCATCCTCAATGCAGCTGATGGAATGCAGATACTGACAGAAAATGGTGTCTCATGCTGAATACATGTGTGGGTGCAGTTTCCTATTGAAATTGCCAACTATTATTTGAGGGGTTATTTCACTTTCTAGATAATGTGCACTGCAAGAGGAATGTACTTGAAAAAATGGAACAAAGTGTTAAAGGGATGTGGTGAACATCCCTCTAAAAATTTTTCTCCAGGATGAGATAAAGCAGCAGTTCTGAACCTGTGGTCCCGATAGGCAGCTTCTCCTCATTACTGTCCTTACATTTTTCATTTCACCATTTTATATCCTTGCCCTTTAGGCACACTGATAACTAAGTTACTAAAGCTGCTTTCCATTAATCCTTCAATTCCTAATTAGAATGATCCCAAGTACTTTTTTCATTGCATACTGCAGTTTATTTTGATTTACTGCATTTTGAGTCAAAGCTTGAGCCCTATTAACATTGTTTCATTAGTTTGGTTCCAAAATACAGCTGTTAAGCAAAACTTTGGTTTTAATATTTATTAATTATCATTTGCCACCTTTGCATCACCAACTAGTACAGTGTCAAGAGAGTAAAYGCAAAGCTTACTTTTACCTAGTGATTGCAATTCATGCTTTAAAATAAAACAGACAAAACAGACAGAACACGCCAACCTATTTTCCCCTCATTTCCATAAGAACATTATTTTCAGTAGTACATAATCTGTTCTGTTTGCTTGAGAACTGTAAAAAGAAAAATGCCTGACTTAATTAAGCAAAATGACTACTAGGGGATAAAACTCACAAATTCAAAAACATCCAGACCAAAATGTACTTCCTGGGATGAAAGCATAAAATRTTTCTTCTTTTAATCCCTTCAGTTAAATAGTTAATATTGATAAAATTGTTTATGAAGCTTTGGCTTTTACATAACCTGAAGACTCACACTCTGTTTTTTCTTATGCTTGACACTGACCAAGATGGTTCTTGTTACAGTCGTTTGCTCCTGAAAATCCAAAGACTAGCACAGACAAGCAGAGGAGGTGCCGTGGCCTTTGCTGTTTTAGAGCTATGTGTGGGGGTTGGGYTTGAGAACGTCTTGGACTCACACATGGACAAAACAGCACAGACTCGAGCTGGGCTGACGTATCAGCCACAGAGATGGACAGGATTRGATAAATGAAAGTATCCACCAATTAAAGACTAAAACATGCTACATGGACATTGGAGAGTGCCCGGCTGTGTCATCTGGCTGGGACCTGTGTGATTGGTGTGTTCTCAAAACCTGGGAGATAAGAAAGTGTATAAAAAAGCATGCAGTAGCAGTCAGAGGGAGAGAGAGCTGAATTCACTACAGAAGAAAGAGCTGATTTCACTATAGCTAAAAGAGCTGGAATCCGAAGATTAATAAAGAAGAACCTGGACCTGCCTGTGGAAGTCTCGTGTCTTTCCTGCGGTGGGCGCACACAAGGAGGCATATATACTCTTGACCAAAAATGCTCTAGACCCATCATAGTTTCAAATTAGTTCCACAAACAGAAGAGTAAAAACTCATTCACTTTTAATTCTAGTTACAGATTTTATTTTTATATACTTACTGCAGTAATTATTGGAAAGCTGACAACAGCACTGAGATAGTGATTGGCCAGGAACCAGCAGCAATTGGCTATTGCCCAAAGCACACCAGAAACAAACCCTAGAAAAATAAATCCCAATCAAAAACATGTATAGCAAGGTATAGGCAGCAATTTGTGGGAGTTTTATACTTATAGCAAAATACAGAAACTGAATATATACGTATTATGTATATAATAAATGTTAACTGCCTTTAACAAGCTGGCTCTGGCAATTTAAACCAAAGCTCAAAGGATAAAAATCAGTTACTCCAACTAACATAGGAAATTAATTAAAGTTCCCAATTTTCTGGGCAATGTGCTGTGCATTCTGGCAGCCAATTTTTGCAAATCTGCAATGTCATTTTGTTGTCCAATTTCAGATTAGAACAAAAATTATCACTGTATCCTAACCTTAATTAATTAATCTAATAGAAGTGCTCTTTCAAAAAAGACAAAAAGTCAAATGAAGACATTTGAAAAGTAAACTACAATTACAACACACAACTTGAACTAATCACAGCAAAATGGACTGAAGAAGTACCTGAAAGGAACAACTAATTTAAAAAGCAGTCATACCTGGCAATATGGCTTGGGGGTAAACATTAGGTTTATTTTTCTTGACTGCACAGTAGATCAAAAAGTATATGGTACTTGTAAGAAATATTCCACTGAAGTGTGCAAAAACATAATCTAAATCTGAAAGAGAAATTACAAAGTTATGTTAATATAAAACACCAATTAATAATTTTAACAAGATTATTGTCATAGATAGCATTCAAATAGACAAAAAAGCACAAAAGTACTACTCTTAACAATTCAGATTCAAATCTCATTGTGCTGAACTCAGTTAACTGTGGACGACAGTTTTGATAACATCTGTGATGAGAGATTGATAACAATCAATGACATTTATTAAACATGAATTAACTGCTGTGTTGATTTCAGCACTTGTGACAGGCTTCTCTGCATTTCTGGGAGTTGTTATTTTCAGAACTCTACTACATATTACTGAATCAATTTAATAAAACCTTGAGAAAATCCTCAGGTGAGGCTACAAAACTGGGGTGGGAATTTTACATAATGACATCCATCTACAATTATGTTACTGTACGTAGCCTTGTTTTGTTCTGCACATGTAAGGGCAARGCAACTGCACATACTATGTAAGCTAAACGTTGCTCATTTTTGTCCTTTTTAAATTTTGAAGGATGTATCCCAATTTTGCTCACTATAATCATGAACAATAATAAAATCTTTATGGACTTTGTATGTGCTAAAGAGAGTATTTCCAACATGGGAGAGCAGAAGATGTAGCAAGGTGATCCTTGTCGCCTTGGAGCTGTAAATTCTGAACAGGAAAGGCAGCTATGGTAATGATAACATCTGTTTTGCCTGGCTGGGGAATATATACATTGCAGCATTCAAGAGAAATTGTGTATGACAATGGCAACATTATGAATTCTCAGCAGTACTTTGCTCTTAAACTCCTGCAGGCATTACCTGATAAGAGTATAACCTAAACCTTAAGGAAAATGTTTCTGGGGGACTGTGGCTTGAAATTGGCAATTAGGCTTATGTTAAACGGTTTCAATTTAAAAAAAAATTCACAGTTTTAATTACTTATGTTGATACATATCTGCTCTCCTAATCACTTATGATCAACCTTCTGTTCCTTAATTGCCGTTGGCAATTGGCAAGCTTGTGCCCTTGTTTAACTCATCCTCCACTCAAACAAATTTTGTATTTTGAGAATGCTAGTATTTAATGCCTTCAGAAACATACCCGTGAGTCAAGTATAGTACTCTTTGAGCAGTTTCTCAGTGTTTTTAATGGTGTAATTCACCTCTGAGAAAAAGGGAGTGTTAGGGCTATGAKTATGACAATACCTAAAGTAGTGCAGAATTGATAAATTGTTATATTTCCAGGCCTATGACGACTTTCACCCTATGYCTTTAAAAAAGCAGAATACAAAGATGAAATAAAGTAGAAGTGATCTATAAGCCTTTACCAAACTGACTTGCTCCTGTGTATATAGTTCCATTTCTTCTTCCATGGTCCTTTATGTAAAGTACTGGCACAAAACTGGAACCGTAGAGTATTCCAGCTACTACAGCCAGGCTACAGCCTCTTTAAAAAGAAAAAAAAGGAGAAAATAGCCTATCATGAATTAAGGAAGTAAACAACACACATAAGCCCAGTACTGCAGGTAAAAACAGTGCACCATATAAAAATTGCTAGCTATAAAAGTAATAATTTTAGAACATTTTTATTTTCTGGAAGAGAAATGTTAATCTAATTTCTCTATGATTTGTGGGAAAGCARCACAGACAATTCCTGCCCCAAAAGCCAGCAATCTAGATTAATGACAYGGGAAATTAACTAACTAGGATTTCCTAAAAGCAGAGCTAGGGGAAAACAAAATTTCAATTTAAAATGCTCCCACCCTCACCTTTGCTGTTGCAATCTATTTATTCTTTATAACTTCCCAGGTTCATTGTTTCTTCAGTCCCCTTCTCCATCTCCAGATCCTTGTGCTCTTGGCAGACTCCACTCCCCACACTGGTTCCTTGCTAGCTTGCTTCCACTTTGGAGCACTTCTACTTCTCTTTAGCATACTGCCATGCCTTCTCCAGATGTATTCACTTGGAAAGCACACCTGGAAGCACGTCATTAACACAGGCTTCTACGCTGCAGTGATAATCAACCAGTTGATAAAACCTACCTCTGTACTTACTTACTCTGTATTTACCTTGCCAAATAATGTTTTTTTTACAGTAGTACCTGATATTTGGTAAGGTTAGACACACGCAACAGCGCCAATGGAACAATCTAAATAGCTGTCCAACTGTTCATATATAGATTTGCCTGCTAGACTAATATGTAAAAACCTGTTATTTATTAGTGTATGACCTTGCTAAGAAACCACAGGACACAAATTCTGCTCTTACACTGTGTTTAACTAATTTCTCTGGCTATGYGCTCTGTACCAGTAAAAGAACTGTTAATAACTTACAGGAGTCTCCTTTTTGCTGGAGAAAGTTTGTTCACCCAMGAGTCATCAGTGGTATCTTCAGAAGCATTAATAGACTGCAAAAAAAAAAAAGAGAGCTTTCATGCAAGTTTAGTTTGATTTCTTAAAATATGCAATCAAATTGTCTTCTGTGATTTAGTATGGTAGACTGGAACGTCTAGGGAGCATTGAGCACAGCTAGAAAACTCTGAGGGGCTCTCTGTTCAGGCAGCCAGTGTTCACTGCCTCTAAGGGTAAGGTACAATGGTAGGAGGAGCCTATTGTTCTCCAGCTGTTGCATCCTTTGGGCTCCCTAAGGAGCAACAGCTAATGCAGTGCCACTCACTGGCCTCCAACCTGTGCCACAGCTGATGATGACAGACAGCAACTCTAGACAGCCTCCTGGCTCTGCAACATGGCAAAAATCTGRCTTTTCACCTAAGYACCCTCACAGCWCTATAGCTAATATTTAAGTAAAATTGCTTCCTCTTCTTACATAAGGAAGTAATACACTGTCTTTTATATAATCTCCATCATAATGAAAAAGGACTTTCTAAGTCATCTAAAGCTGACAAACATGAAAGAACACTTGGGAATACCTCTTCTGTTGCTAATATTCAAAATTATATCCAAGATCCACAGGTTAAGATACAACYAATACACACTTAGGTTGTTTTATGTAGTCTACCACAAATCCAAGCAAACCTGACTAACAAACACATTTTTGGTTTAAAATGGATATTTACTTTCACTGCTGTAAAATAACAACTGTAGAGTACTTACACTTTCTCTAAGTAAAGGTGTGCTTTCTAATGAAGCTGAAGAAGTCTGGACTTCAGTTTTTATAAAAAGAAATATGACAGCACTTAGAAGAGAAAAAATACACCAATAAATACCATGTCAGCTCATAAGGATATAAGATCCAGTGTCCAGAGACAATAGTTTTATTTGGAGGCATATACCTTTGTTTTCATTATTGCCCTAGAGTCACTTYAATATATTTTAAAAATGCAATTGCTTTAAACCGTTATAACTTGTTATGATTATATACAGAAAAGATATAAAAAAGTATAAATACAATAACTTAAAGTAATTAACTTAGCTAGCAGACAATGCAAGTAAGTAAATAATCAGCTTTTGTATCACTTTATATATCTCTCTTCTTATGTAATGTGATTGAAATATCTCCTTTTCACAGTGTGTAGTTGCAACCACMTTAACAACAGAGGCTTTATCTAACAGTACCCTTTTGTACCAAACCACACATAAGTGTGTATCAGGTATCTGATTGAAAATTCTRTATGGAACAGCTTAAACCTGCACAGAATTGGCTCTATGCTCAAGGAAAAATGTTAGTTTTCAGTCTTCCACTGTATGTGAGGGATGGAATACTGCTACTATGGGGCCTTATGTGCATGTGGAAAGAGAAGGAGTATTGCTCCGTACTGCTCAGTGCATTAAGTGAATAAAATGGAGAAGAAAGGGTAATATTACTACTCTTGACCCTGCCTCCAGGAGATCAGATAAATACCTGCAATAAGAGCGGAAAAGATTCTGTTTACTTTTATGAAAAACATTTTAATGACGTGGGAATTTCTTCTCCTAGCTGTAAACAGAATGTTTCCATTTTGAAGGATTCATCTCTTACTGATGGAGTAAGCACAGGTATAAAAGGATGTGAGTTTCCTCCAGAGGAAACATACAGATTCCACACAGGAGGCCAATATGAAAAGCCTGCTTCTGAACTTCACAAAGCAACAGGCACAGACTGTGTGCAGTTTGCCAGGAAAACATGTTTGGTCACAGTCTTTTTCCCTTCTCCATGATATCTCTGAAGCAGGAAGCAGGTGGTGAGCTGCATGAATTCATCAGGCAGGAATAGCGGTACTTGCTACTATTTTCTCAGTACCTCCCAAACTCATGTGCCACATGTAAAGGGAATGAGTACAAAGCAGCAGACTGTTAGGAAAGAAGAAAAATGGAAGCAAAATTCATCTAAGGCAGCACCAATCAAAAAAGGCTTCATTATTTCCATGTTCTTAATACCCTTCTTTTCTGAAAGGCATCTTCTGTCAGCACGCCTGAATTCCCTATGAATTAGGGCCATCTTCCCAGCTACCCAGCTGGAAAGCAAGAACACTGCTACATAACAAAGGTCCCTCCTTCCTCTATGTTTGGACCAAAATGTATGCACTCATAMAAATAAAAAATGAGCAAAAATAAAGAATTAAGTCCTTCTGAAAATCCTGAAGGAAGAAACTCTGTGGGATTTTGAAGTGTGATTGAAGAATTTCAAGACACGGAGCTATTACTGGAAGGAAAACGTGCAAAGCCTTTGGCCTTTCATGGACCCCAAAGTAYCAGGGAAGGGTTCTGGGGCTTATTCTACACTTATGCAATTAAGATTTCTATCCCTGACTGAGTGAAATGAGATCACAAATCTGAGGTTTTCTCAACAAGATTCTTCTAGTCAGTCTGTCTCACAGGATTTGGGGAAAGTGAACCATTTGAATGACCTAATCTGACAGTGCATCTGTGCTTTGCCTTGAACATACCTACCAGCATAAAAATATATTTCTGTGTCTACGGATAACCATTTCACCTCTGTACTGGACAACATGCATGTTTCTACATGAACATTGACCAGCTAGGTATGGATAKCTCATGAATTTGGTAGTAAATGGGCTTGCAAAAAATTCTTTAATATATTCACTCTCTTGTTAAATCATCCTTGTGGCTGGTCATAAAATATATATTTTGCATTACAGAAATTCATTGTAAGAATAAATTTTTACCTTGTAAGTGAAAGTCCAGCTCCAATATAATTTAAGATTGGTCTTGATACCTCTTCTGGGTCAATTCCAAACCAACCAAACCTGGAATGTTTAATSAGTTTCACTTAGTTGCACTGTCTTGATACAAATAGTTAAATTATAGCCTAATCTTAGAAATCTTGACTTATATAAATAATTCTGCTTTAAGTATGTATTTTCAGTRTTAGAACAGAGGCTTGCAAAAAGCTATGTCTGCTTTTCAAAAACAATCTTTAACATTCATTTTTTTATATGTATATTTAAAAGTTGAAGTTAAATTATTTTATCAGACCACAATGCAGAAGAAAATACAAATATGTACTAGTTTTACATTAAGAAATACATTATTTATTGACTCAATAACATCACTGGGCATTCTCCTTTCTATTAAGACAGAAAAAGCATAAAACGCCAAAATAATTAACTTGAGTATTTTCCACTGAGAAGGAAAAAGTCTTAATACACGGGAGAAATTCTCTTTAGTGGTCGACTTGGCAGTGTTACATTARTGRCTGGAACTGATGATCTTAAAGGTCTTTTCCAACCTGAATTACACTACGATTCTACAGGTGAGTTTTCACTGCAGCTATTGATGAAGAATTGGCAATATGAGTTATGTAATGCCTTAAGACTTAAAACACCCTTACCTTGAACTTGCCCAACCTGTCAGCAAATTAAAAGAAGCCCATATCAAAAGGCCAAGAGCTAAGCCAATAGTTTTAACAATAGGAACAACTGTAACATTGCCTGAAAGATAAAAACAAAACTGAAATCACTTATAACATAGAATGCGATCTTGTACATATTTGCTTTGGATCCTGTGACTGGTCAGAAGGCAAAGAAATTTAGGAAACCACAAGGTCTTAAGAAAAAGTGTTTTTAAAAAATAAATGCATTGAACATACACTTTTCCTCCATATAGCTTTAAACGCTATTTTTGRTGTGAATTTGCCTCTTATTAAATAAGGACACTAAAATAGTATTTACTGTAAGGGTACAGCCCCATTAATAGTGAGGGTTTAAAGAACCACAAACTACTAAATAACTACTATCTTATGTATGGTAAAATTTTTATCACCTTTTTATAGAGAGCTAGGATTATTTGTGTTTCAAGAATSGGAATCTCTTTATCCTCACCTGTAGCCCACACAAAACCACCAACCATAGCCAGAGGCCAAAAGCGGGGGCAATTCTGGATCAAATTGACCACCAAAGAAACTATCCATATRGAAGCACAGAGAATCCACTGGAAGAACATGCCTGTAGAAAAATCAAATGCACAAAATAGAAAATTTGTAGAATACTGCATGTGTAAATCAGAGTCTGTTTATCTTCAATGTTTTTGTTTACCAAAGTCTGAGCATTTTTGGCATATAAATAACACTGTATGCATCTGAGAATCCTGATAAGGGTAGAAAAAAGGACATTTCGCTTTCCATTGTGAAATTCCCATGAAATGTTGTATCATCACTGTTAAAGGGCACAACRCAGAAGAAGGCTCTTCTAAAGATATGCCACATTCTGAAGCAGTATTATTGCTTTACACCTCAACAGTGAAGAAAATGAACATATTCTCTGGATTAAGGCTGATGATATTTACAACTAGCATTGAAAGTCTAGTAATTTGTTGGTAAAGTATTATTCCTATTAGCAAAAACAGCAAATCAAAGAAAAGAATGTAATTAAATTTACCATCACCAGTATCGAATTTCTTGACAGGAACAAAGTTTGTCCCAAATAGAAGGACAGCGACTGTGGAAGAAGTAAAGCCAATAGCTAGATCTGTTCCATTGCTGATGTTAGCAGCACTGTAAGCTGTCACGATGTTCATCTTTGTTCTGAATTTGCTTCTTTTTGTGGAGTTCTCTTGCTGCAGGTCTTGACAGAATCTGAAATCAAAGAGTGGAATTCAATATGTGGAYTATTAAATAATACCTATCTAGTTCRGAAATCTGGAACTTAAAGGAATCTACACATCAATCTCTCAAAAGATGAAATGAACTGCAAAGTACTGTAGAATTCCATGAAAATRTGCCATAAAACATGAATAAAGTCACTTAAGAACAAATGGACAAAATCCACCAATATTGTGTGCTCTGTCTGAACACATAAAAAATGAATGTAGAGGTGCACTCAAAGGTTATAAGGACTTGAACCTGTGAGGGGCATGGGAAGCACTGATACTTTAGTGAGATGTTCTATCAGAATATTCCTTACCCAAAAGGGTCACACTGGGGTGTATARAAAAAATGACACCTTAATTGGCAGAAGTTACAGCAGACMTATTGTCARGAAGTCAGAAACAGAAGTSGAGATTCTATAGGTGCTACAATGGRATCAATATGTAATCATAWGGTAATCACAGGGATTGCTATGGCTGATACAATATATGAATAAAGGTTCATTTTTTCTGCAGGGAACAAGGGGAAAAGCTGCCTCTAAAATTTCTTTGCTCCACATAAGAAACGCAAAGACAATTTTAATCCCAGAGTATCTCTATCTTTTTGAAGTGGGAGAGTCATCTTGAGGTTACTCTTAASAGATGTGCCACACATATACTTTTGATACGGATTGTAACTTTGACAGAAAAGGTGTCTCTGATGACAACCATAACAACATGAGTTTTGTGTACACACTTGAAAGACTACATATAAGAAAAGCGTTTGCAAATTTAACTTCAAATGGCAACAGGATACTTAATATGCTGTTATAGCAATACAAATGCAATCATCTTGTCAAGGTAATGCTATTTGTATTGAATCAAAAAACATCCCAGTGCAGTTTGCCTTTCCCCACTGTAGGTGGAGTAGCTACTGTCTGAAGAAAAAAAGCTGAAATAAGATGATGGAAATTTTGCCAAGTCTTGTAAAAGGTGTGACTACATTCTGTGCACAAGAGCTGAGCTGCTGGACGTTCTCTCATGTTATTTTACTTAGTCTTACCTTCACAGTCCTTAGGACATTGAGAACTCTTATCTGCTGAGGTTATGCTTTCCTCCACAGCTTCAGCAGAGCCATCAGTGATTGCTGAAATTATTTGCATTAGCAGATGAAAAGTTTGATTCCACAACTAATACAGCAATTAAATTTCTATAATTTTTTCCCTTGAAAGATGTAATATATTTCTAACTTGAGTAATTAAGAGAAACAGTGATGACATTTAAAAGACACATTATTACAACAGCAGAGCAGTTTCCATTTATATTATCTTTTTCTCCCTCACTCTTCATCTTTCTTCCCTACTTAGAGGATAAGCTTCTCCAAGAAGTTTTCACTGTATTTAAAACACTTCTACAAAGTGTGTTTTATGCAAGACCYGTAGACACTGATTTGTGCAAATAATAATGCTGTGATTTCTTCAGAGACTTGACTTCACAGGATACATTGGGACATGCAGTGAACAGATAAAGACACATAAAGGCTGACATCAGCTTTCTTCACCCCACCAAACTCGATTCACTGAGTGAATACATTTAACTCATCTAGTGGACAAGTGAGGCACAAGAGCTGGGTTTTGCACAGAAGCACTTCATGTGCTAAGGACGTAGAAATAAGGCTGATTACAGTGCAGCTCTGTAAATGTATGAATCACCACTTTCACCTTCCAATTTGAAAGGTTTAGTATTTTACCCGCTAGTGACTTATTTATTTAAAGTGGTTGATCAGTCCTTTTAGTTTTGCACAGAGAAATGTTATTTTAAAATTATTTCAGTTTTGTATCACCTAASAGAACTGTGCTGCGTGGCAATATATTTTCCTGCTTGCTTATCTTCCAAAAATCTCTGCATTTTGCACACTGAAGACTTTTGTACCATCAGAGAACCAGAACGATCACTTCAAAAATGGACAGGAAACACAACTTCCACTTAACTAGGCAAGCACATGCTTCATTCAAACTGCTTAGAACTCTGTAATTTTCTAAAACTTGGGACACTTTGTTCCAAATTTGGCTAAATTTYACACCCAACTTTCAACTCCATTTCAAATCCTTCAAGAGAAAGCTTAATCAGACAAGGCCTGAAGCAACCTGCTCTAACTTTAAAGATAGAACTGCTTTACGCAGGAAGTCAAAGCAATGACCTCCASAGGTCCCTTCCAAACAAAGTAATTCTACCATTGTATGATCAAATGTCGAGAGCAAATAATAAAGTGGCAAACATCACTAAGTCAACTACACTTTTTGTACATACTTTGCACATCAGAGCTACCAGAGCTCATGAAAAGCCTCTTCAATCCTATGTTATTGCCCAATGGACTTGCACATATGTCCAAAGGCTGAGGTAACAAATGCCAAACCAGAACATTTGCTGAAGCTGCTATGATCTTATAGTGGTTGTATCTGAAACTCAAGCAGAGGCAACAGGAATGGGAACCATTATTGAAGGCTTTCTTTCCACCAAGCTGTCCTGAATGAAGGGCACTTCAGGAGTCCCAAGCAGCAGAAGAAATACAGTTTTGTCGTTGCATATTTGAATTTTGCTGGCACAAATTGCTCTTACCCTACTAAATTCACTGGACCACCCCACTGGAGTGTTGTGTCTGCGTTTTCATGCTTCCCTCATGAAGAGGACACCATTTATTACCCACAAATTATAATGCTCACTTATAGCAACAGCAACATATCACTGTGATCTATGCAGACAGGGATGAAATCAAGAGGCCTGTCTTCGAGCACTTGCTCCTCAGTGGTGATCCCTCCTGTTGCTAAGATTCCAAAAAACAGTTTGCTAATTTAGTGGGTATTTTTAAATGTTGACTGTTGATTTTCATGTTTCTCCTATCATTCTTTTACCACTAAAGTGGATACTTTCATCCTTAGAGCACTGTCAGTCCCCAAGTGGCTGAGAGCAACGTCCCGAAGTRACACCATAACCCTCCGACTGGACCCTTGCTCAAGAAATGCATCTTTGCATCCCTGAGGWGAACTCTTTTAAAATACGTTCTTCGGGCAGTGTTTCCACTAAGTGCTTACAACAAGGAAAACGCCCAGCTGAGAGCTACACACGGGCCTGTGTGGCTTTACTGACCCACGGCGCCGGGTTAGGCCCGGGCTGTGAGCGGGACATGGCCCACCCTGGGCCCGGCCGCCGCGRCAGGGCAGCCCGGCCGCTCAGCACCGCACCCCGAGGGGATAACCCGCGACCCCGCTCCAGCCAGCGGCCTTCCTTCCCCCAGCGCCCACCGCCCGGCTCCCCGCCGTGGCGAGTTTCAGGGCGCTCCGCTCCGGGCCGGCAGGCGGCCGGGACGGGCCCGTACCGGCAGATCCCCGCTGCCGTCCCTCCGTGCAGCCCCAGCCCTGCCGCCCACGCCCCACCGCGCTCCCCGGGCCGCCTCAGGCCCCGCCGCCGCTCACCGCGGCCTCCCGCCCGCGCCGGCACCGCCCCGCGCCTCGGCCCGCCTCCATCCGCGTCCATCCGCCCGCCTCCATCCGCCTCTGCCCGCCGGCCTCTTCTTCCCCGTCCGGGAGCGGCGCGAAGGCGGCTGGGSGGCGGTTTGCGACTGCGTTTCTCTCGCCGCCAYGGCGGAGGGGATGTTCCGGCCTGCCAGCTTYCCGGTGGGGAAGAATCACTAAGARAAACCTTAAATCAATGCACTCAAGTCGTGATAAAAGCACCTTTACCCCTCCCAGCCATAAGCGCACTGATGAGAGGCCTCCCTCCCCAGTGGAGTCCCCCCTCCCCAGTGGAAGTGCACTGTGGACTCGACAGGCCAATGCTGTGACGGTAACTGAAGAATCACAGAGTCCATTAGGTTAGAAAAGACCTGTGACAAACCCGAGTCCMACCWGTGCCCCAACACCACCATGCCAACCAGACCGGGGAGCGCACTGAGTGCCACATCCCGTCTTACGCACCTCCAGGRAMGGKGGYTCCACCACCTTCCTGGACAGTATATTGCASTGTTTTCTGTGAAGAAATTCTTCCTGATGTCCAACCTAAACCTCCCCAGGCTGAACTTGAAGCTMTATGTCCTCTCCTGGTCTTGCTGGCTTCCCGGGAGAAGAGGACGACTCTCTGCTTTTAGGCGGTCCTCGTTTCTCTCTATCAGAGAGCAATGAGGTCTCCCCGATCCTTGTCCAGGCTAAAGACCCCCAKCTCCCTCGGCTACTTCTCATAGGACTTGTGCTCCAGAAACGGCACGCAAGTTTTGGCAGCGCTTGTGCAGGAGCACAGACATGGTTCAAGGACGGGGCTGCTCCCAGAAGGGATAGCATGGCCTCCTTGCAGCTCCTGTCTCTCCTGAGGTGTCCCTGGCTGCTGGAGGCTGTCACAGGGCTGGGGGCTGCAGGCATCTCGGAGAAAGCAGGGACATTCCGAGGCCATGCTGCAGCTGCTGGCCATGTGGTGCACAGCAAGGCAAGAAAACCCCCGAGCCTGGTCAGGACATCCAGGTTTTTATTTTTCTTAAGCACAAAAATTACCAGTTGGTCTGGAAGCGTTGTTTGGCAACCAAAATCAAGTAGCAAAAAATCTTTTATGTGATGTCRAGGAGAGATCTTTGCAGATTTCCCTGTAAGGATTTGATCCAGACTAGTTAAGGCACAGACTATTAGTCAGCATGTTTAGTCACGAAGCAAACATTTCTCTCTGTACTCTTGAAGWACAATTTCCAGATGGCAGCCCAAATTGATCTCCTTACAAACACAGCATGAGCCTGCTTCATATTTTGCAAATCAAGTCTACATTATGTGTAATAAGGGCTTATGTCTTTTCTCTGAAGAATAAGTTCTCAGTCCCATGGATTTGGCTAAGCCAGGAGTGCACTATTTATCAATCATTTTAAGATAAATGTCTGTCCATGTATCATTTAGAAATGAACAGCAGAATGTCTCTATGGAAACAGTATAGCTATAGGGCTTCCAAGAGGAACAGTGTGCCATACAACAATCACAAATGTAGCCCACAAAAAAAACAAAAACAAAAACAAACAAACAAACAAACAAAAAAACCCCACCTCTAAAGGCAGTGCAAGTATGTGTTGCTTTCTTTCATTCAGAAAATTAAAAAAAAAAATTAAGAAAAATGTTAATCTTTTGCATTGAACTGCCTGCACATAGAAAGCAAGAGCACATGCATTAAGGAGCCTAGACTGTACTAGACTGTAACTACATCCTTCCAGGTGTCCAGGAATAAAGACAAGTCAAGGCCCTATGACTGGTGGGCATTGGAAAATGCAAGTATAGGTGGAGGTGAATTTCAAAGGTGAAAAAAAAATTTCAAATAGGTAGTTCACCTATTCATTCACATTTAAAAACTATACCTAGAACTGTTAAGAAGTAGAAAATACTTCTTAAATCCCCCTCTTCAATTCATTGCTATTTTGCTCTATTAGTTTTTATATTCCAGTATTCCTAACCTTAGGAAACAACACTGACTGTRAAATACAGGTATATGAAGAAATTGCATAAAAAGCTGAGCTTAATTGGTGCAGATGACAATGTCACAGACGCAGTTTAGAGCAAGGAGCAAATACAGAATCTGACAGGCTAACTGTAGGTAGCAAAGTGAAATAATGTAGGCCAGAATTTGGTCAGACAACTGCTGTTCAGTATATTTGTTCCGAAAGTTTGTCTTAAATATTTTATAACCACAGARGAAGTAGTTTCAGCTCTGTAGTGTCCTTTAGTGCTTTGCTGCAGTGTTGGGTTAGAATGACTGCAGAAAGAAGAATACTACCCAGCCTTCATTATTTTGTGGTATCTGCTAGGGCGCTGGAGCTGTACACCACAAGGGCTGAAATAAAAAAAAATCACTTGATATTTTGCCTTTTAAAGATCCAGAATTAGAGGCAAATGTYTGCTAAACTAACAGACTTTCTACTGCCATTCATTCCAAAGAACATACATGTACATGAGTTCTCCCTTCTGAACATGAGAAATAAAGGAAATRCTATTGCTATTATCACATGATTTCAAGGCTGCAAATGAAATGAGGAGTGAAGAATGATTCCCCATATTATTTTATAATTTCCCTCAGATTATCTCTAAAGAGTAGCTGTAGGAAGATTACATCGATTAAAAAAATCCACTTCAGAGAAGTGTTGTAGCAGAGGAGAGCTGTTAGTAAATGGAATAGACTGTGTTTTGCTTGTAATAGACAGGTCATGGTGCTATGTACATGCAGGAACTGAACGCTGAAAAACAATTGTTGCAGTGTGATACATTTCCAACTCAAGCAACTTGTCTGGAGCTTTTGGAATCAATTCTCTTTGTTTGGGATATGTCCCATCAGTTGTATTTGAACTAAAAAAAAAAAAGAGAGAAGAACTGAAATGGACAAAGAGACTTCCTACAATCCCAGTTCCTCCAAAAACTCAGATTTGGAAAATACAGGTGGTAGGAAGGTATTTTACTGGTAACAGACACAGATACTGAAATTTTAACTTGACAGTATATATTTAAACAAAAACTAAAGGTGAYATAAATTCAGATTGGACCAATATGAAACATAAACTAATTTCTTAACTGTCTATTCTCCTTTAGTATTAACTAAAGTAATAACTTTAGTATTAAATGGAGAAGAGTATATCCCCATTGCTTTGAATTCCAGTGAACATATACATTTTACTATTTTATACTTAGACTGGGAAAGGAGTCAGATGTCAGAGCTTTGCCCTTCTGTCTGCCTCAACTTTTCCAGCTGTACAGGGACTGTGTTATGCCTTGCTTCAGAAAGCACAAATAAGAGACACTCATGAGCATATTAACAGCATATTAACAGCATTTTGAAAGTTGCTATCTGTTTTTTCACTTCCTATCACAACAGTATATGATTCGCCAAAGTTCTAAAACCAAAAACCAAACCAAAAAACTAAATGCAGAAATTTCTTCTACATTTGYGTGCAGTGCACTAGGGGGCCCTCCGGAGTTAGAAATAGATGGAATGCACTTTTGAAAGGCACATACTTCACAGGACTTTTCATTACAGAATTTAAAATAGAAGTTGCTGTGGTTTTGTGTGGTGGGTTGTTTGGTTTGGGTGGTTTTTTTTTTTTTTTTAATAACGTGAGGTTCATGAAAGTTTATAGCACTTCATATGCAACTACTTCTCAGTAAAGTTAGCTTCCCAACAGTTTTAGCTTGCAGTGAAATTCCTAAATGTGAACCATACTTAAAAGTGAAGTATGTTCTAGATGCCAGCTTTTACTCAGTTACTTTTATTAACCTAAGGAGTTTACCAGAACAAAGGATGTGTCAAGCTGAATAGGTAAGAAATTTTATTTTTATAGCTATATATATATATATACAATGTGCACTTATTCTTTGTTTCTTGGAAAGGACATATAAGCCACTGTCATTTTGTTTTAAAAACTATAGCTAGATTCTTTTTATGGCTTCACAGGAGTGAAGAGAATTAACCATCTTTCAACTTTAATGTGTTTATGAATTATGAGAACTATATTCTAGTMAACTAGGGAAATTTGGCACTGCTAATATATTYTTGTRTTAGTGAATATKTGCATATTTAACTACTACAGTCACTGGTGGTTCATATTTGGATCATTTGCAGCATTTCTATAACATGAGATTTAATGAAGACTTCATCTCGTAAGAAAAGGATAATGATCTGGGTTTGACAGGCTATTCTTCTAATGCTGGAATACAGCCAGCTGAGATTGCAAATTGAGCCTATATTTAATGATTTAGGTGTTTTATTTATASTRTAATGAGAAACTAAAAGATGTATYCTGACAAATTTCTACATGCATACTGTAGAATCTCATCTAAAACTTATTTCTCTGAAAAATATAGAGCCACRGTTGCTATATGTGGGCAATGAAGTGAAATGCTACTGTTTTCTTTTTGCAGTTTACAAAGAAGATACATAAATCTTTTAGACTACAAGTCAGTAAACTTTGCTTACGCAGCTGGCTCCATTCATTCTCTGAAGCCAATCACTTCCCCTGTGGTGGCTGATAAGAATTTAACAGTTTGAGAAGGTGGAGTGTCAGCATCCTTAGTGCTGACCRCTTTCCCAGGCATATCAGTAGCCTCTGTCCATCACTCATGCTGGAAACTACTTGGAAAAGAAGAAATAGAAATTGGGGAAGGGAAATCATGCATCATCATCCTGGCTGGAATGTACAGAAGGCTTTATGCTGTTTTCATCATGTGGATTCACTAGAGAAATGACCCCTTTTGATCAGCCAAGTAAAATCAAAAACTTGTTTATTTGCTGCCTGTGGCCCTCATGGGTGCTGAGGCTCTGGACTTGCAGACGCCCAAGGACAAGGAGGAATCTGCTAGTGGGCACTGCCTGTGTGATCTAYCTGGGATTCCTTGTCAGCCAAGTGGGTCATGTTTTACCGCAGCACAAAGGAGGACATCAAAAGATCAATTCCAGAAGTCTCCAAGATGCAGCTCAGACTCCTYTTCTGGGCATCCCACTGGATGGCACCCTGTCATCACCCAATTTCCAGGAATCCCAGCTTGGTAGCAATGGGACCTTACTGCCACCCAATGTAGTTTATATCACCCTGCGGTCCAAGCGCAGCAAGCCTGCCAACATCAGAGGCACAGTGAAGCCAAAGCACAGGAAGAAAAATGCAACCCCTTTGTCAAACGAGCAATACTTTCCAAGAGCCACTTTTATGGGCTGGGAAGAGGCCTTTGCCCAACAGCCAGGGAGGGCTACMCATGCTGCAGGCACAATGGGAGCAGCAATAGCTCTGGAGGCAAGGAAGCGCCAACTGGATGAACACAGACATAAAGGAATGGCTGTCAGGGAGGGAGGTCATCAGAGACCTGGGAGGATTTCTGGAGCTCCCCAGGCACAGCTCCAGCCTGAGGAAAGCAATATCAGGATTTACAGTGAGAGGCCTCCCTCATGGCTGAGCAAAGATGACATCCTAAACATGCGCATGCTGGCAGATTCTCCGATAGAGAGCATTCGAGAAGTGCCTTCACACAAAGCAGTCCTGGTACAATTTGCAAGAGGTCCCAGCTCTACGGGAMCAACTGCTTGTAATCAAGGACACTGTGGAATTGTCAAAAGACCTCTCGACATGAGTGAAGTGTTTGCCTTTCATTTGGACAGGATCTTGGGGCTAAACAGGAGCTTACCTTCTGTAAGCAGGAGATCAGAGTTCTTCCAAGGTAACACATTCCTGTGGTTTTCAGCTTGCAGGTGGGGTGCAGAGGTTTCCTTCCTGCTTCATGTTAGCCTTGGGGCAACAGCAGCCACCCCCTTTAACTCCTGTGAGCCTGAGAACTAACCCCATTGTTACAGGGGAATAAAGCCAGTATCTGTGTGTAACTTATGCAGTGCAGTTATCCTGTGCAAAGGATGAATACCCCAAAGTTTGCATCAAATATCATAGAGTTGCCAAGGGCAATGACAGTTTCCTCACACGAGTCTGGAACAAGAAAAAAAGAGAAAGACTAATTCATAGATTGCATGACATTGTACAGACTGCCTGAAGTGAAACTGGAGAAAGAGATTCCAGAATCTCTGTGATTTAGTGGGTATTTCTGATCTTTTAAAATGAAGTTGTTGTCTTTTAGAATAGACTTTAATAAAATCCTGTTGAAACTTGGTGCAAAAATTCATCTCTCAGGTGGTAGGGAAGGGGTCAGATAATCTACTCAGAGAGGTAGGGAAYCTTACTGCAGAAGCTTGAATCTTCTTTCATGGCATTAATCCCTTCGGGAACTGAAAATTTTTTAAAAAGTGCTTCCCTTTCCTTTGGTAGTTAAAACCCAAACAAACTGCATTTCAGTGAATCCTGTTGTATGTTTTGAGGTTCACTACACACATCTATATATTACCCAAAGAAACACACACAGTGAMTATCTCAATATGCCTGTTATAAAATTGGTATAGTTTTCAATTAAAATTTTGATTTTTAACATTTAGTGAAATTAAAGGTGGACTTCAGACATGTCATGTGTTAGAAGTCTACGTTAAACATTGCAACCTTCTTATATACGTCTTCAGCATAACCACTATATTTGTACAGTCACAAATCACAACCCAAAAGGACTACATTGCATTTTAATGAATCATTGCAAAAGTAGCTAGCTATGTTTTTGCTGATCATTTCTTGCTTTGAAATCAGGTTATATCAWATACTTTTATATCAGTCTATGTTTCTTGAAAAGAAAAGTAATGCAAGAATGGTTTTCTAAAGTCTGACAGCAGAAAGACAACCTCGTGATCTCCAGTGTCTTCCTGCTTTGTAAACCTTCCCTTTGGCAGCCTGTACAGCAATGGGAATGAATCTCTAGGAATAACAGTTTGGAGGCTTCTGAATATTATTCATACTAGCCGAGCATGGAAGATAGATTATGCCTATTTTATTTTTAGGAACAAGAATCCATTGCTATAGAGCTGTCATAAGGCATTAAGGTAGTTCGGTTGGGGGAACTCTGCACAGTGTGGCTGCAGAGATGACAGACTGGAAACCTCTGAAAACTGCTATTAGGCTAATTGTGCATTGTGTTGCTCAGTGTCTGTCACCTTACAGTATGTTTTGGACTGTCTGGGACAGAGTGTGTCATTCTGCCCTCTAATTTTCTTTTCCTCATAACTGGCTAAGTTCCTATTGCAAGAGGAGAGTTGCTAGGTGATGAAAAGAGAAATAACACTATTTTGGTCTCACTTCATTTTTTCCAGYTAAAGGCTGAATAGAGCATTTGGAACAGTGACTGTACCTTGTCTCCCATGATTTCTTTAGCCTGGAAATATGCTGGAGCTCAGATGCCTAATAACTACTTGAGCTACTTACATGCTTACGTTTGGCATAATGTGAAATATCTATGTTTAGAAAATGAGAAAAATATATTCTTAAAAATAATAGGAGCAATTAGTTATTTTCAATGACCTATTTATGTTTAAGATAGATGGGCACTGTAAAGTTTGTTACAGTGACTTGTGTGGATCAGTTTATTCACATGGGAAAGYAAGCAATGGAGGATTAGAGACTGTGCATGTGTGTATGAATGTACACTRTTTCTGGGTTGACATATCTCTCTCCCCGACACATCCCTTTAGCTTGCCTCAGTTGTGATGTGATCCAACGAGACATGTTTGATGTAGCATTAAAATCTTAAAAAATGGGCTTTTCAAAACTGTCATTCATTTTGTCAAAAGCAGTTTCAAAGAACTGCTTAGTAAATCCCTGTACAGGTTCTATTTCCCTTATTCCCACAGATCTGACACTGACATTTTTAAAGTCTAGCAAAATACTGTATTCAAGTTCCCTGTCTGCTGCCCTCACCTTCCCTAGTTAATTGTAAACCCTTTTAAGTGTGAACTGAATTTTTTGTGGTTTATCTGATTTTTCCATCATCCACTCTTTCTCTCATATTTTTACAGTGAATTGACTGAAATTAAAAAGCCTGAGTAGTATAAGTAGGAAAAGCCATTTTGAGTTGAGCATAACAGTCTAAAAGAGCATGATTTTGTGCATAYACAAGCAGTTATTCATTATTTCCATTGCTACCTATGAGATGTGAAAAATGTTTCCTAACACCYATAAAAAGAAGGACAAGTCTGTAAAACACCAAGAAAAAGTCATTAAATTGTGTCTGTTGTGGAATAAATGGAGGCTGGCCCTTAYGTGTCTGAGTTTTGGGAGAGTCACATTAATATCAGAGCACTACGAAACTTCAGTATTTCATAACCCGAGTCTGAGGAATAGAAGAGCCATAAGTGACCTTGCTTGGTGTGACAGCCCTACCTTCATGACATTTGCACAGGAGTTAAGTCAAATGACTGCGTGTATGGCCTCCAGCTCAGCAACTGCATTTGCAGGGTGGGATGCTGGCCGTGTTTGTTAGACTTGAGCTACAGCTGGAGTTCGTGGAGCAGGCTGGCTTCTCTGTTGCAGCTGACAGCTGTAAGGGTAGCACTTTGTCTCCTTGGATAGCAGCAATGAGCCTGGACTCTTTGTTCAGCTTTTGGTACAATAATTGTTGCTGTGCTGTTTTGTTGCACCACTTCTGAGGGAACGAACTATTGCATGCTGATGGCTTCTTCTCTTCCCCTCTGGTTTTCCAATATCCTGAGTCTGACTAAATATGTTTCATCCTGTACTGAGAATAATAAGCACTTTAATTATTTAGCTTTCTTTTTATTTTTTTATTATTTATTTATTTATTTATTTATTTATTTATTTATTTATTTATTTTTACCTAAAGATTGAACCCACTATCTGTCCAGAACCTCCTTTTTTTCCCCCCAAACATACAAGAAACTCTTCCTTTGAGCAACACCTTTCATGGCTGGTTTAGTGCAAATAGACAAATGTCATGATAGCTCTGCTGGTTGCACTTGTTGTTTTGCTTTACTGTCCTCTGCCYGATGATAAATGGTGTCCTAGCTTTTTCTGTGTTGTACCCTGTGCTGTCAGCCTGCTCTTGCCATCCCATCAAAAGTGATGCAATATGAATCACTAATATCACAGCAAAGAATAAAAAAATCCAACACTGCTTTAAGCATTTAGAGTGCTCTGAAATGTTTCCATATAGTGCTGTACCTCTCAAAGGGATATGAGAGGCATATTTCTAATATTCTGTTAGGTAGAGAAGTTCATGTATAAGCAATAATGCAGTCCATAGTCTAGAGAGCAGCTAATGCACATTTCATRCATTCCTTAATATGGACACCCTTATGAGCACAGGACAGAGCATTGCAATGARGTGCATAGGGAAGAAGGAAAAATAAATGGCATAACTTCTCTTTMCTTTCTGCTTCTGTTCCTTATATTCTCCCTAAAAACTTAAACTCTCAAAATCATGCTCTGTATGCCAGTCCCTCTCATTTTCCATGCTAAATTATCCTTTCCTGCTGATGCAAGGACAACTAAACTGYTTCTTGCAAATGTGGCAGTGGTGAGATATACTGCCTTACAGTGAACAACCATGAGTTTGAGAAAGGGCTTTAACTACCTCATGAAAGATTTTCTGGTTTTAGTGTTGATCTTATGGGCATGTTTGAAAATACTTTCTTTTGAGGAAGTTAGAAAAAGTTCTGTAGCTATAAGTGAGAGCACAAGATGAGAGTAATGTTTACAAGAGCAAAATGTGGTCCTTAACCACATGTAGTTTAGAAGCATGCTGTTTATTTTCAAAGTGATGTGGGGTGTGGAAATCTAAGATGATGCMTGTGTCAAAGAAGCCATGCAGTGTTACATTACTTAGTGGCACATGAAGCAGTTTGAGTACCTTGAGGTAGTCGAGTCTTAACAGCCTGAGGTTTCMTCTGTGTTAGTTTGTCAACTTAGCTAAGACATTTTTAGAAATACTTTGATATTCAGAAATTGTACGAATTACTAGGAAGATGGTTTAGCATGAGTTTTGAAAATTTTTTACCGTGCAATTTTGAAGATCACCTTTGGATAGTTAAGTAGACATATAGATCTAAAATGGCAGATAAAAGTAAAATTAAGCCAATCAGCTCTGGGCAAGATGCAGTGCAGTTCAGCTACAGCAACAGAAAAGCAGTAGCYCTCTGTGTTAGGATATAAAGGTGACTAGGAAAGAAGCACATACAGAATACATTGGAGTCTTTCTGAAATGTATTCAACCTTCCCAATTGTGGCTATAGGTCTCTTCWCTGTTCAGGTAACTCCAGCCCATCCTCATGAGGTTTGAATCAGAAAAGCTCCAGTGATTTCATTTGGGTCATGCCAATTCATRTAGCTATGAATCAGACCCCTTATCTGCTTTAATTCAGCATCTTCATATTTCTCCAAGTGTCAAAAATTTGAGTCACAACTCTTTACTGAAGCTGCTGTTTCATATTCCTGTAATCCAATTTATATTACAGAGTTGAAAGATTTTTTTTTTTGGCTCATCTTTTCTGCTCCCATTTCCTCTTAAGTGCAAGCATTTCCTGTATTTAACCTTAGTCTTTTAAAAATGTTTTTGTATCTTAATGGAAACTGGCATGATATTATTCATAGTTTTCAAGTATTTATGTTACTATTGTTTATCATGTCCTTTTTGGGTAGACAGGAGATGTTTGTTTTCTTAGAAAACTGTTTATGTATTTCATTYGTGGAAGAAGTCATGAATAGTTACATAAGTTGTTACGGGAGATATAATAATAATAGATCAGATTTGGTGCTGAAGAAAGCTGTCTTTTTTCTTTTGGCGAAAACTTCCAATGCTTGTGTAGACTTTCTCCARCTCTCTTGGAAAAGAAGGCTAGCCCATAGCTGGCCTAACTTGGGTAATCTACAATGTAKGTGATAGAGCCAGAGCAAGAGAGAWGGAAAAATGGATAGGATTTCCCAAATGAGTTCCTAAATACTTATTCAGGTGCCTCAGTAGAGGAGAAGCCTGATTTTCAGGAGTGCACAGCATGTTTTTTCAGTGGGGGAAAGAGTGTGCAGCGTAGTGCTGATAAAGGTAATACTGATCGTAAAGAAAGAGGGATTGATGTTCCTAATGGAAGGACAGATACTGTGTTTCTAAGGAAACTCTGGACAACTGCAAGGGAAGTTAAAGAGGGGGTGGGTTGCTTAATTGGCTTGGCTTTGGAAGGACTACTTCATATGTGCAAGCCATGGCAGRGGGAAAATCAGGGACATTCTTATTTTGGAAGGGGGTTGATTTTTCTCTTGGGCTGGATTGCATGCACGGCCTGTCATGCTTGTTTGGCGAATCGACGGTGGGACTTGGCACATGTTTCAGTGCTAGGTACAGGCAAAGATAGTTTCTTACCTGTTGTTTTAGAGCAGTCAGCATCCTTTGAACAAGTTGCTTTTTGATTGATCTGTATGGAGATTGTTTTTCACAATCCTGGCTGCTTACAAATGGAGCATTGACATTGGCAGCTTTTACCTTGTTGTTGGCATTGATCCCTGTTTTCCATGTGCTATTTTCTGTCTGGTTTGCTTCTGAAGAAGGTGGCCTGGATCTCTTGCCTTCATGTGTTTCTAAAAGCTTTTTTTTTCAGATCTATCTCTGTCTCCACGAGCATGTGGAAGACAAAGAGACAATTTAGGCTGCACTTAACTATGCAATAAATTGTGCAATAGTGTAGACTAACTTCATTGAACTTCAAGATGAATATGAGTAATTTTTAAAGCTTTGTATGTGTTCCAACACTTTTTAGTAAACAGCAGTTAAACTTTGCAGTTAAATGGTCCTTCCTCTCTGTACCAAGACATATTTTGATCTTCTGTCTACACACCCTAAAATAGAAAGGATTTCTTTGTTTTAATGTGTACAAGCCATGGTCAGTCATGGGTCCTTGACTATTTAAGCAGCAGTAGCATTGCATCAGGAATAAAAGGAGAGTTTTGTAGTAAGATAGATATGTCTGTTACTTGTGTGAAATATCAGTTCTTACACTGGAATAGCTCATATAAAATTCTTTGATGAGGTTTATTGTCATGGTGAAGCTGAACACTAGAAGTCTCCAAAAAGAAGTCCTCTGTTTTAGTTTCAGGGAAGAGAAGAATCTTTACACATAACAGCTAAAGAATTTAGTTAAAATATCTGCTATACAAAACAGATCTCATATATAGGTAAAACCCCCCAAACTTGTCAGATTGTTTATTCATATTAAGCTCACACTCTGTAATATTCTCATATATCCTATCCTGTTTTATAGGTTTAAAATACTAAAAATAACAAATCCACTTTGAGTATAGGATTTGTGGTGTCTCTATGTCCATTATGCAGAAAAAACCAACCCTCTGACATAAGTTTTYAGCTCTTGAAATTCAGCCATTCACTGGAATCAGAGGGAAATTACATTACTGATTCCAGTGGCATTGTAGGCTTTTAGCCTTCCTAGAAACTTTTTAATAGTTTGGTTTAGTGTATCATTTTGTACATTAATCTCTTGTTTCACAGAGAGAAAATCTTTGATACACTGAAGTAGTTTTTGCTTATGCTTCCATTCTTGTGGTGGCTGGTTGTGGATGTAGAATAAGATGACATTAACCAGATATCAAGATAATAGTCCCTGGCTGGTATTCCTACCAGATGTAAAATGGCATAGTTACTGATGCTTAGGCAATGTCTGAAGAACAACCAAATAAAGCTGGCAGTATTGCACTGTACTGGTATCATCTTCTATTTTTTTTCAGGTGGTCAAGCYTGTCCTGTTATTCTCTGGGATTCCTCACTGAGTCCAACAGATAACAGTACCCATTCTTCAGTGAGGTTAACATGGGGACAATATCAGCAGCTATTGAAGAAGAAATGCTGGCAGAATGGGAAAGTTCCCAAAGCTGAGTGGGGCTGTACTGAAATCCATCATCATGAGTGGTCCAAGATGGCACTCTTTGATTTTCTCTTGCAGGTAAAATGTTTGCTGAACACAATTATTTATTTCAAAAGTCATGTGAGCAAATGTAGGATTTTTAGAAAAAGTTTTTTTTTTTTAATGGGGAAGAGAGATTTTTGCACAGTTATTTCTGGTTCAAGTTATTTCTGGTTGTTTCTTATGGTTAAAATACCCAAAATGCAGTTTATAGTCAGGGAAAGAGACCAGAAACCTAACTKACTCATCTCTTTTTAAAGAGGAAGCAAAGTTTTTTGCCTTGATTTTTTTTCACCTTTAGGCAGGGATACTGTTGCTCCTTCACTCCTTGGTTCTCCAAACAGATATCTTGACTATGTTCATGACTGTAAATCTTTACTCTGTGGTCCTTCCTGCACCTCCCCAGGTCCCAGAGGTAACTGAGCTGTTTTTGGTGAGCTKCAGTCTGAAGCAAGGTAACAGTTTGAGTGGCTAATTTTCCTTTTTTATTAAAAAAAAAAAAAAACAGCCTAGCCACCGACTTAGTAAAGAAAGAGTACAGCACCAACTGAGGAATGATAAACATGCTGTTCTTTGATTAAGTACTGCACATTCTCATTAGCTCTCCRAATAAGACCAAACTGAGACACTGCTATCGTATGGCTGCAGTTAGAACATTTATGTAGTAGAGTATTAATACACTCCCTGCCTAGCAAGACCTGAGCTGAACCACCCATCTGGAATAATTTTATGGCTTCCTGAGATATGGGACTACTTTAAATGGTCCTTACCTGCCAAATAGTCCAGGTGACTGASTTCCTGCAGCACCCACTGCTTTATTTGAAACTGAAGCAAACAGAATTTATACACCATGTTTGGTTGTTAGTATAATTCAGTTTTTAATGAAATTACATTTCTTGTAAAAATCATATCTTGGCTTATGCATAGCCTTTAGCTGCTCTTCTTAATCCTTTTCTAGAATGAAGGAATGYCAATTTTTTTACTTAGATTTTTGCAGATTTTTTATGTTAAACAGATTATTCAATTCTTCTCTAAAAATGGATTGTCACTTGTCTAATGACTCCATCTTTAGTCCCATTATGAGCAAGTAATGCTTAGAAATGGGTATAAAGTCATATGTGGATGAATCTGTTKCTAAACATAGTAACACCCCTATAGGAATAGTACAGATTGTGTCAGAATTAATATTTTTGTGCCATTGTTGTCTTCTACTTTAGCAGTTTAAAAATTCTCATGAGTCTACTTTATCTAATTTCAAGGTCTTCTAAGGCAAGTTTTTAATATTCTTAATAGAACTATTATCCAGAAGGAATGGTTGCTTAAAATAAAATACAACAGGATTGAACTTCACATGGCAAAAAACAAATTGCTCTTATACTAGTAGTYGGTCAGAGTGATTTACACCTCCAGTTGCCTACCAGGCAAGAACATGCATACCAGAAAGTGAGTGGACGTGAGTCTTGTAGTTCTTAAAGGCTACAATTTTATCTTGGTGCTCTCAAACTTGACTTTAAAGTTTATCAGCAACAGAATATGAAAACTTGAAAATGAAAAAAAATTCCAAGAAGGGGTTCTGTGTTAGGAAAAATAAAATATGTACTTCATGAGTCATTCAGAAATAAAGAGTAAATATGAAAAGTGTTAATCTCTATTAAACATAATTCCCTCAGAAGAATCAGTTTGACACCTGTAATAGATCTTCCTAATCTCTGGTTTCAAATGTTGTAAAACACAGAAGCAGGATATAAAAYGCTTATAGTTGATATTTACTTCCCTTCTGCAAGAACTCAAGCAAAATAAGGACAGAAATATAAAATGGCTTYTTTAATTTTGGGGTTTGGACCTCTTATGTACATAAATGTATGGCAAGGAAGTTATGCTCCACTATATGCATCAATTCCAGCGTGTTCCATCATAATGTCTAAACACTGAAATTATGCAAGATATTATGAAGAGGCTGTCTGTAAAAACATGATCTCCTTGTGTGTTCAATGCATGTAGTGAAGTGTAGTGCAAAGGAATTGGATCTGTGCATCAAAGGAGTCTTTCTAGAGGGATTCTGCTTTACCTTTTTACCTTTGGATGAGTTGAATGAGAGATCCCAGGAGCTAGAGCCCTGGAAGTAAGATGGACTCTACAGCCTTCAGGTAATAAGTGCTGCTCATGAAAGGAGAAAGAAGAAGAGAAATCAGCTCCAAGGCCAACAGGCAGGAGCCTCAAGCAATAACCCAGTCACATCCATGTAGCAGAACAAGCAGCAGAAAACCACTCCTACACACCTCTCCTCTGAAGGGCTCAGGGGAGGGCTGAGCTGCCTGAGCTGAAAGGGAGGGGTTCTGTGCCCAGAGGCAAAGGTGAGTCCCAGGTGAGACTTCTAAGGGTGATCCAGGCCAATTACTGTGCTCAGGACTGTAGCAATGTTAAGTATTTACTCTCATCTAGTCAACAGTGCTTTCAAGGAGAGATTTATCCTTCCTGTATTAGATGGTTATCCTAAAATGGCATCCATTGCTCTGGATGGGCCTTGTTCTTATCATTGTTTATGAAAGGCAACAGAAACGACCAAATCAAAAGAGATGCCTCACATTTACACCACTGAAGTTAGGCCAGATGTACGTACGTATTCCTTCCAGCTAAGTGCTGTGTGATGAATAATCGAGGTTTTACATGGGAAAAAATAGTCTAGACCATCATATCATAAAAGTATCTACCACAGGGAGGATGCTCTGTGGTTATAAATACACTGTTCTTCTTTTTTAGCTTTTGATGGTTTGTTGTGCCCCTTGCTGTTTTTTTCAGTTATTTTCATACTGTTAGCCTAATAGATCCTGCAAAATGAAGACTCTGTGTGTGTGTGTCAGACTGTGCTATTTCTATTGTTCTCCAGCAGAGAAAATGTAAAAAAAAAACTTTTGAAAAAGAAAACGGAATTGTATTCACCATCCTGTTATTCCAGTTACAAAGTGTTACTCTTCCATTATTTTCAAAGAATTTCTACTGACATAACAAATCATGGCTATAAAATGAATAAAATACACAGTCTGGAAAATTGCTTTTAGCCATACCTGAGTTATGAGGACTGGGTCTTCAATGCCATTTTACTGCTATCTTTAATTACATTTGTCCTGAGCTTGCTTTCCTGTCAGCTGGGTTAGAGGGTGATGTCCCACAGTGACACTTTGCCCCAAATACTTTGGTATTGTTTTCACTTGGCACTCTGCTGTACTTTGTTTTAGATCTATAATCGACTAGACAGAAATTGTTGTGGATTCAAACCTCTCAAGGAGGATTCCTGTGTGCAGCAAGGACTGAAGCTGAAATGTAATGATCAGGATGCTGTTGACCTGATGCACATAATTCAGAGAAGACATGACCCAAGGCACTTAGCCTTTATAGACAATAAGGGTTTCTTTGACAGAAACGAGGATAATCTTGACTTCAAAATACTACAAGGAATCAATGAGTAAGTTTTAAATTATTAATTTTGTAAAAAGATTGATCATTTCTTCCCACTTTGAATATGAAACACTAAGCTACTGGAATAGATATCATTGACCCAAGATATTAACAGGATATATCTAAAAAATGTATGTGTAATCCCACTGCTGTAAAAGATACAATTAACATACATATGATTAAGCATGCATGGACTTCTTTTTCTAAGTTGCAGTCTATATTTGTACAATTGATTGCTAAACCACAACATAAATACTGCAATTCAGAGTAATGGCAAAACCTGATGGATTTCTTTGTGCTTTTCCAGATTCCCTGCATCTGCAGTTTCAGTGCTGAGGAGCCAGCGTTTACGTGAGAGGTTGCTTCAGTCTTTGTTCCTCGACAAAATATACTGGGAGAGCCAAGGAGGCAGAAAAGGAATTGAAAAGCTTATTGATGTAATAGAAAGAAGGTCCAAAATTCTTCTTACTTATATAAATGCACATGGAGCCAAAGTATTGCCCATGAATGAATGAAACAGTCTTGTTTCCATCTGAAAGAAAGTCTTTAAAAAATGTTGTATGGAGCAAAAASTGACAGTAAAATGGATTTAATTCATGGCATTATTTTTTTTCCCAGACTTTCATTTTAAATAAGAAATCTTACATGATTTAAAAGCCACATTTAAATGTCAGCTGCAGCTCAACACAGTGCAGTCTCTTCTATGTCACAGTGAAATGAAAAATAGCCAAATGGTACAATAAATAATATACAATAATATGTAGGTACCATGAACACTCCTACTGTTAAACTGTTTGAAAATCAGCAACAGGATTTTCAGTGCATTAGGCTGGATTGCTCTTACTTCCCTCACTGAAATCAGTAGTTTTTATTGCAAGTTTAAATGGGAAAAGAGATGTGTAAGCACTTGATACATTGATGACACTTGCTGAAACACAAATAGTGCAGAATTTGTCTTTTTATTAGGTATACTAAAATGCCAACATTCCCAAAGGCTTGTTTTATTTTATTTTACTTGATCTTTTGAAATCTGAGAACTAAATTCAGTTCTTTTATATGCAGGAGTGTTTGAACTGGACATGRGAGCATTTTAAAAACTGAGTGAGAATAACATGGCTTTAGCAATAACCATTATTTTGACAAATACAGTTTTTATGTGTCCAATATGGAGTACAATTCATCATGAATCATTACAATGTACTGTTTTCAATACAAGTTGTTCTGATGTGTGAGTACGTGATCTGATACTTTTTGTCTATTGATTAATTGGGTATTTTTTAAAAAATAGCTTTATCTTTGTGTGAATGTGCTGCTAAGTCAGTGTTTTGCTTTTGCAAAATTCTTGACAATATTTTTTGAGAATATTATCAGAGTCAGACCCCCTAATGACGTTGTTAAGTCCAGCAGAGGAAATGTTTRTTCTGTGCTCAGCTCTAGCCAGCAATTCAGGGTTGGATTTCCATTAAGATTGACCACTGTGGGGTGATGATTCTAGTTGATGGCTTGCCCCAAGTGTTCCCACAGGTGAGGTTGTTAGGRAAAGTTGGATAAGCACTTCAGATTTTTTCCCCTTGAAATGCTCCAGAAGTAAGAGATCAATTGATGTAGCCTATCATGACTTATACTTTCTACCTGTCTTTTTGGAAATACTCTTTCCATCTTTCTAGAGAAACATCATCTGTTGGTGTAAGGTAATGGTAGAAGTTGGATCCTTTCATAGCTACTCTTGCCTTTATGTATAGTAAAAATATATAGGGTGTAAAAGACTTTTGAAAGTGCTTGTGCAATGTTATTAATGAMAAATCAAAATGTCTCATGTCACTGTTAATATGGATAGTTGAATTTAATGTTCTAAATAACTWCAATTCCATTGCAGCTAAAACCAATTTTCTTTCTTAGTACCAGAAAACCCATTAACAATAATTGCATTACTAGAAGAAATAGATCTCATTACAGGCAGAGTTAAAAAGACTTAGTAAAATTTTTAGACCTTAGCCAGCTGAATATCCTTTTATTTTATTTTGTCAAAGCAAAGGACAGCTTAGTTTGTTAAAAYTTCCTAGAACTTAAGTAATACCTCAAGAGTGTATGTTTCAGAGTGCCTTGTTTTTTTTTTAACAGCAGCAAGGTAGAATTTTACAGGATTTTCTTTTAATCCCTTTCTTAAAAATGTTGTAACTTTTTAGCCAGATAATTTTCATTCAGAAATAAAAATATTACTTCTGCTTGCACTGTGAACAGAGTCTAGAGAAAGAAATAATCCTCAGGATCCATTTCACATGGMATTCCTGTTGCAGTGGATTTCACTCTATGATGGCCCTCACAATCAGTTTGTCTCATTTTCTAGCCGATCTCACTGATTTTTTCCTGCTAGATACCTGTTCAAGTGGATTATCCCTCACTGGGATTATACCTGCTGGGAGTAAAGGCAYGACTCTCAGCTGCACTGAACTCAGAAGAAGGCCCAGCAGTTATGAATGTAGCAGATTATGRCAAGGTCCCATGAGAACTCTGTCTTGTATCTTTAGACTGCACATCCTGATGCCGAGTCACTGCCTCACATTGCCCAGTTGTACTTTTTTTCCAGAATTGGCTCATTGCCAAAGAAGACAAGGAAATCTGAAGTAATGTTTTTTTTTTTTTTTTATCTTTTCAGGCGGGGTCATTTATTTTTATGGTGATAACTTGATGCATTCTTCTCCATTTCTTCTGGACATGGACTAGTGTTTCCTTGAGCATAACACATGCTTTTTTATTTGCCTGGCAGTTTAGTGCCAGTTCTTAAGGCAGCATGTTTTAGCATGCCGTGTTTCTTTTGTGTACAAATACTCTTGTAGTATTCAGGTAAGTCAGGAGAGTATCTGTGAGATTGGAACAGTGAGACAGGATTGCAGATTGCTTCTAATTCTCTAATGTTAATAACAAACYCCAGAAAGTGCCATTTCCCTATAATCTTTATCCTGCTGCTGTGGAACTTGGTATTTAATCCAGTATTGTTAAGAATGCAAAATATGATTGCAATAGCTSTTATGAATGCACACTAGCCAAGTTCTAGGGCTTTCATGAAAATGAAGAATTCTGTATTTTTTTGCGTGCATTTGCATAAATGCTATAGTAAAAAATACAAAAGAAGCACTTTGCTGAGTTTATTCTCTGCTACCATATTCGAGATACCTGCTGTCCCTTCAGTAATGGGGTAAAGTTTACTGGGAAGTTGGTTCACATCCACTGGAAGTAGTATGACTTTGGACCTGCAGGAACTGCACTGTAGCTTAAGTAATATTAATTGAGAGGAAAAATCCCAAAGAAGCCTGACTCACTCTATGTAGATTGATAGAATGCCAAGAAACTGTGCTTTAGTCCTTTTTGCTGGGCTGTCTTCCATTTCTGGGCATATGGGATCAGACAAATATTCCTGTTGCACATTATGTGGAAGGGTGTAACCAACAGCAACAKTGCAAACCTGTGGGTAGGAAAAGGCGATTATGTCATTCTTGAATCTGCCTGAAAGCCAGAACCACATGAAATGGCGTTACTGAGAAAGTCAAAAGAGTTTGCTGATTTCATAACATTGGAAGACAGAGCTTAAAATAAGTAGCACAGGCACAGATGCCTTAAAATTCCTTGGGAGTCTGCCAGCAAGTTAGGAGTCTTAAATGTTTCAGAAGCTGAGGACATGAAAACTGTRGAGCACTGTGGGAGCAGTTTCCTTCTTTTCCTCTGTGACTATTCTATAGTATGCTATATTAAAATAAATAATAGAGAAAAATTACTTCAATGGTTTCAAACTTACAAATACAGATTTAGGGTACATTAAGGGACAAGGTTCCTGTAGCAATTCTGGGAACGCTTTCATGCATGTGTGTGTGTATACAGACACAAAATACAACTATATGTAAATGTACTTTGGCTTTTTTTTCTTTAAAATGGTCAATTTGGCTAATAAAGAATGAGCTGTTTATGTAATTTACTGTTTACATGTAGGATTGTATTTGTGAGTGTAAGTCCAATTTTGGRTATATACAAGTTGAAGTTTAAATAAAACATTATAGTAGATGAAACTTTTGTTCTCAAAGGATTAAATCTTTTGCTAACACATTTATATAATCTTAGAAGTTTTTTACTTGCATTTGTAGAGAAAAACAGCAATATATTTGTATCTGTGTTAAACTCCCAGAGTGATATCAATTCAGATTTTTTATAAGTTTTATATTAGAAATTGAATTTCCATTTTGTTTTGGAATTTGTGAATTTTAAAATCCTGTTTGTCCTTTAATTAGTCACACTAACAGTGTTTTCATAAGTAATGAATAATTTGAATCTCTGCTGCTATTGTCATGTAATGTCTCGGAATACATAAAATAAAGAAATACCTTAATCAGATTTTCAGTTCAGATCTCTAAGCTGCAATAACAAAACCGTAATACATATTATTGTAATGTGTGGATCATAATGTGTGGATCATTAGTTACTATTGACAAAAACTAAGGCCTTGAAACTGCTTCTTCATAGAAACAAACCAAWACAGATTACAGGGATCTTTCTGTAGAAATATTTTCTAGCTGTTTACTCATGAGACTTGCAACTCTTTCTTACCAAGCTGATTCGGTGTAGCTGTGAAGCTTCTGCTTACTGCAGCATTGGTATTTACTGCCTTCTTTAGCCGTTCTGACAATACCTACTTACACAAACATTGAGCAGAAAAGGCCGTGACCATTTATAATGCCAGAACAGAAGTATTAGTCAATGACTCGTAAATTTTCTAACAGGCCATGAGCAAAMACATGCAATAGCAGAGAGACACTGAGCTCCACGTGGAATAGAGACTCACACAGAGCTAAAGTAGCCTRAAAACTTTTGGCCTCTGAAGTTTACAGTTTTTGCCACAATCCAAGAGAGAYTAATGGGAAACACAAAGCTGCTGAAACATTTTTAAACATTCTCTTTCCCACACAAAGTAGTTTGTTTTGTTTTATTAAAAATTTTACTTGTTTTTGCACATTACTGCATACATCAGTCTAAATTGTATCAGATATATTTGTGTGAATTGATTTCAATTTCACTGAATTATCCCATTTCTAGATAAAAAAAAATTAAGTCAGTTAAGTTGATCTGTTTTGCAGATGTCAGAGAACTGAACTCTCAGGTCAAAGAGAGACCTTAGGAGAGTGACATTTTAATAAGGTGAGTTTCCTGAAATATAGCCTGGATATAGAACTTAGAATGTAAGCTCTCTAAACAATATCCATCGGGTTCAAGCCAGGATTTACAACTGTTCTTTAGCAAGATCTACAAGTGTTCTTTGGAGACTTTCAGTCTCTATTCCTGTGTATCAGGATATTCAAAGAGGATTAGATAAATTCAAGGACAGCAAGTTTATATATGGACTTTGTAAGCATTAGGCAAGCTTTTATCCTCTAGCATTCCTAATATAACAATTCTGAGTACTGGGGAACGTAGGGGAAAGGGGCCACAGATAATGCCCCAAAGTTATATGCTCACCTTGCATCGTTGCAGTCGGAGATGTACTGTTGCACTGGGTGGGACCCCGAAGGGAATTACACATACTTTAGTATTTGAAGGCTATGCAGCCAGTTGCAATATTGTAAACTCTCCAGCCTTTCCCTTATTTATAAGAATGTATAGAGTTATATTCATTCCCACGTATGGGGATGTTTGGGGTGTTGTGTGTCTGTTTTGTCTTTGRTGAAAGAAGAGATAGAAAGCAGATGGCAACCTTCTAATGCCTAAGGAYAGTTTTCCAAAAGAAGTTCCATGGTTTTTGTTCTTTTGAAAAAGACAAAATGAACAAAAATGCAGAAATGTTTTTTMCCCACTGTGATGCWTTTTCCTATCTACATTTGGCACTGGGTASACCAATRCCATAATTTGACTGAAATAAGTGKCTTTCTCTAAAAATTAGTTCAGTTTCAGTAGTTATTTCCTTTTTARTCTTCTGCAGTACATTTACTTCTTATTTAATCATTTGGTTTCAGCATTCACTGTTCAGGAACATTRTCTCTATTTCCTTCAATGGAAAAGYTGGCATGGCATTCCATGGAGGTCTGTTAAGCTGTACAAGCACGCCTTATCAGAGGTATTCTTCAGCTGCCTGTGTGAAACACTTTGAGATTTGGATGGAATTTATTAACTGTGTGAAAGCCAGCCTTCTGAAGTGTGAGAATTATGTCTGACAGATGGTACAAGCTGACAGTCCAACGTGCTTCTATGCTCTGGGAATTCTGAAACAACTGCAGGTCACACATCTTAATTTTCAGATATATGTGGGTGTATCCCATACTTAAGACAGGTTTTTTTTTCTGGTCACCTGTTTGGTTTTTCTTTCCCTGCCTTGGTTCTCCTGAATAGACATATGCAGTCAAAAAGTAAAAGTGAGAACGGGCTGAAGCATACCATGAATACAGCTGTGGCATAGGTACAGTAAAGAGGTGATGACCAAAAAAACAGTTAGACCTGCCTTATAAAAACATCTTGAAGGAAAATGAAAGGATTTGTCCTGTTATATACGTCAAGACCTAAATTAAAAAAACCCTAATTATGTGAGGAAAATACCTGAGAGATGATCAGGCCCACACGACTGTAACAGCTCTCTCCCCAGACTCCCATTCACTCATTCTACTGCTTCATGATCACATGGACAATTCTTCCATCACAGTTCACTGGCCTATAATATGAAGGTTTTTGAMCTTAGACAGCCCTGTATGTTTGAATACCCAGAATGTTCCTAAATTTTGCTGATTCTTTCAATGTAACAGGCCTTTTCTCCCTCTGGGGCTGAATAATTTACATGAAAAACTCTGAACAYTACACCTGCAGTTTTTATGTTGTATCTGATCAATACCCACATATTTTTCTCTTGGTGATCTCTAACAATGTGAAGCATTGATACCAATAATTTCTCAGATTTCAACTACAAATTTGACATATTTTTCTTCCATATAATATTCCTGTAATAGGAGATATCACTGCTACTCTTCAGAATTTTGGTTGCAGCTTGGATGGAAAAATCCTTAAAAAGGATCTCCCAATTTATTTCATGTGTATCAGTAGTAGAGTGTACCCAGCTGAAATTTTGAAAAGAGGGCTTAGGTGAGAGATAGATTGTTAAGAGAAATCTCAGAAGCCTAGTTTTTAGTGCTTTTTTTCTTTGATAGTTCCGTGAAAGAATGTTAGATCTGTTATCACACAGGTAATCCGCAAAGTACTGCTGGGTCCGTCTTTACTGATCAGTGTTGTAGCCCTCATTTCTCCTGCTGTAGGTTCTTTTTCTCCTGTGGGTTTTTTGTAGCTGTTCAGTTCCTGCTGCACTTTTAACTAGGAGACTTCCGTTATATGGTTGTTAGTTGAGAAGGTTTTGTAGTTTAAAAGGGAAGGGGAAATAGAATCCCTTATTATATATACATTAAAATGCAGTATGCTGTTTTCTCTATAATCAGACTTGGGAAAACTGTGTTATAGTCCTGTTTCAGTGCTATTCTGCCTTTTTGTGACCTTCCACAGGWAAGAGACTCAGCTGGCTTGGCGGTTCCCCCAGACTCAGTGCACTGCCAGCTGCCTGAGCCATTTCTTCTAAAGTTACTTTCTGACTGAGCTCTGAGGCTCTTTCTGTCCAGCTGCAGGAGTTACCGTGCTTGAAATCGCAGCTGGGCCTGGGCTGATTCACAGGATATGAACCCCARTGGGTAGTGCTGATAGCATTATTGTGCTGCTGTAGGAAAGAGTGCAGTATGCCATCAAACCCTACACTTGTAGTCGCACTTGAATGCTTGCTTGGCTGTATCAGCATGAACTAARCCAATAAGGCAACTCATGCGACAGAAGCGTTGATGTATTCTGAGAGCCRCAAAAGGTCAAAGAACAAAAGAGATTAAATCCCCATTAAAATCACAGCTTTCCACTTCATTTTGCTTTGCGTGCTTGTATGTTCAAACTTGAACTTGAAATGCTAGTTTGCAAGTAGCTCTAATGTGCAAACACAGCTTTTGTCAATTTGTTAGTGTTTGTGTTGCGAAGCAAGAGATCCGAAAGCCAAAGCACAACAGATTAAAGCTTATGCAGTGTCAACACCATACTGGGAAAGAATTCTTACCCTCTATCACAGTCTTATCGGAGTGATAATCTGCATGGCCATGAAGAGCTGACTCCTATTTTTTGTTACACTGTTGGCTTAGTGCTAAGGTTTCTTTGATTTTCTGCTGTTAGCTTTACCACCCAGTGTAGATATCCTCGGGCTTTCACAATTGCTCTTTCCTGCTAAGAAAACACAACTGACATGTGTTTCAGTACTTGGCACTTTGCCTCCCACGGATAGTTAAGGGTCAAATTTTAACCGATTTGCTTTCTCTGATTTTAAGCATAGGTTATAGTATAATTARCAAAGAAAAATAAATAATTTTCTGKCCTGGTTTGGGAATAAGTCCTGCCAAAAACTGTGTAAATACACCTTGTAAGAAGGGACTRCAGATCATCACAGAAAAGCGTGCTTCAGAAGTTTAGATCTGAAAGTGTCATCTGATGCTCAGTTTTGCAAAAACAACTTGTGGAGCTCAAAATTCTGGCTATTCTACTTTTTAAGGGCAGGATGTTTAGGAAAATTGTTTAAGAGAATTTCCTTGACCAAATTTTTTTTATAAACTGCCACCATCCCAGTCACTATATGATGACTAAAGCCTGGAAAAGTTCTGCACTTTGGATGACTTTTGCTGTGGGATACAGATAAAGGGAGGCCATAATTTCTCACGTAGCTTTCTTTAATCTGCTTTCCTCCAGCCCCCATCCCTGGGGGCTTACAGCCTCTTGGAGCCACAATAGGCTTGTGTTGCAACACAATGTATGGTCAGTTTTGCTAGATTCCTTCCTTTTCATGCATAYGTTTCAAGGTCGTAATTAAGTCCCTACTTGCATTAATGAAAGCAAAGGCTGCATTCTTTAAGGCTCAGACCTGAACCTCCAGTTCCAGTGAAAATTCTGCAACTATTTCCTGTTTCTCACTTGGCAAACAKATGTCACCAAGATCTGTTCAAGCATTCTGGACTGAAATTAAGTATGGATTATGCAACTTTCATATTTTTCAGTGGAGAAAAACTGCTAGGATCCTCCAGAAAAGGACTATTTTGGCCAAGTTTGCAGCTGTTAATTCCCATTGAAAATAGGTGATTTCCCCCAGCCTGCATGTAGACATCCAGCTTTCACTATATTCTTCTGCCTGAATTAGGAGGTTGCCCAGTTGGACGGCTCTGTTTTGTGATGCCTCTTACATCATGAGTCACAGGCAATGAAGGGACTAGCAATATAATTTGGAAAGAAGATAGCTAATGGAAGATTAGGTAATGGTAGGTTGTATCTAGGTTCTC